CAACTAAAAGGCTGGTGATAACTGTCAAAACGCCTGGCATTTGAAAAAAATGAATAAATAAATTTATTCACTATGTAGAAAGATATTTTTAACCTGACACAGTCATTATATTAACCTCAGTTAGTTTACAAGAGGAAAGAGACAGTGAAAACTGTTTATCGGAGGAGATAAAATGAATCACGGGAGATCAGTTATCTTCAGGAGTCGACGGTCGTTCATTTTGTCCAATTCAGAAATGAACATCCAAGAATACTTTTGTCCTGAGGAGGTCTGAATTAGCAATAAATAGGGATTGATTGGTAACCTGTACTTTCATAGAGTTTCAATGTCATAAAACTTACCTTATTGTCTTGGTTGAATAACAACTCGTATATTCTTCCTTCGTCATCTACAATGAGGATAAATTATGATCAGATTTGAATATCAGTTCATTTTACTTAACCTTGAGTGGTGTCTGGTGATTGCTCTTTATCTACAACTTGCTCACAAAATTCAATTTTCAGATGAGAGGAATAGAAAGCCCACTCAATTTATCCGATTGAACAATTTGCTCAAAGCAATGCTGGTATGAACTCGATGTAAATTATGCATTGCAGTAGGTAAGAGTGGCGTCTGTATCATCTTCGATCTCAATGTCTGACTACATAGTGAATGCGTGAGGCTGTCATACATCTACACACAAGTTAATCTCATTTGTTTAAACGAGCCTTGACTTTCTGCTAGTATGTCTATTAAGCTATGTTATCTCTGGGACTTTTGAACATTAATAAGCTTATGTCTAGATGTTTGAAATCATCCACAAAAGACGGTGAGGGATGCGAGTGGACCTTCCCTGGTACTACTTCTGCTAATCTTTCATCCTATTCATCAAGAGTTGTCAAAACGAAAAGTACCAGGAGTGTGGAGAGCCTTCAATCAAAACCACAGCAGCATAAAGATAAAAATTAATTTGTCTTACAGTGTAGACAGATAAATTTTGATTTTGAAAATTCGATGCCATTTGAATTGACTCCTTGGGAAAAATTGATTTCTGCTTTGTAATGTATGTGAAATCAAGTATCACACACGATCTTTAAATTTGGAATATTAAGTTGCATTGAGTTACTAAGGTAGAAATCATATGCAAGCAGCACTGTTTATATTCCAGTTGTCAAAGCATTTCTAAACGCATGTCAGAATTTCAAAAAATTGTATTTATGATCTCATATTGAGAGAAGATAATCCTATTGTGGACACATCGCAATTTCTAACACAAGAAAATATTTCCACTTCTCTTAAAAAATATTGAATAAAAGTGAACATGACTCACCACCAAACAAAAGACTCCCATTAAAAGAGATCAACGAGTTTAGTTTTAAAGTGGGTTTAAGCACTTCGGTCCACTGGGGAGGTCCTTCAGTAAAAAAAGACAACATCTCCATAGAACCTCTAGCGACGTATACATTTCCATTGAAAAATTCTGCTGCAGGATAAGACCTCGAATGAAGCATTGGAGCGATTTCACACCAACTGCTTGCGAGCCCAAGAGGCGATGAAGTTGTCAAAAAGATTTCAGCTTCGTTACAATTTCCAGTAGATGTAGTCCCACCAACAACTATGTCACCAAGACCGGGTATATGTGCTGCTCCTGTGCCATACCTAGGCGTTGGCATTGGGGGCAGTTTCCTCCACCTAAATTTTGAAAATACTAAATTCTCAAGTGATACTTGCTGATTCGTTACCTTCGACCTACAAGTTGGAGGTTTAAATCAGGCGAGTTCTAATATCCACATGCACACATGCTGGGACACAATACTATCAACATCTTCCTTATTTTCACATCCCAGCCTCTGCTGTTTCGGCATTTGAAAGATCTTCAATTCACAGATATGAGAGGAAATTTTGTAACAAAGGCAATGCAACATGAATACTTTAATAAGTTATTGAGTCAACGGTTACCAAGCAGTGTTCTTTGGATAAAAATATCCAACTATTTATGACGATGTATAAATTACACAATATTTTTTCAGAACTCTCCAAGAATGATAAGTAACATCATATTGCATTACCAATAGCCATGAAATGAATGCAAGTCATTTTCCAACCAAAAGCAGACAAACTCACATAAATGCAGGAAATGCATTTATAAATATCTCGAAATGCATATGAACTTGATATCAGAACACGTTAATCATCTGTACATGTACATGTGGATGGACGTAACTTCTAAAATCTTGTCAATCTGAATAAACAAAGACTGGCGATCCAATATTTGAAACATCTTTAGTTTTCAGTTATAAGAGGAAATTTGCATCAAAAGCCACTGCATAATAAATAGATTAAATGCATTCATTTTAGATATACCTGAGCTATGTCCGACTGACATCAATCTCTTACAACTAATGACGGTGTACCAATGCGTGAGTACTTTCAGGGCTTTCAAAATGTAACAAAAGATGTGTAAAAAGTCTCATCATATATTAGTTCATTGCCAAGAGCAATCAAGTGAGTGTAAGTCATTATCCGGACAAAATCGGACAAACTCAGATTGATTCGGATGTCTGTAGTTGCAATCAAGGTAGGTCCGAACATCACACCAGGCAAAATGTTTTAAAATGCGTGTAAGCCGCATATAAAATGCTTACGTGCTGGTTGCAGGTGAGAATTCCTCACAAGAGCCTGAGATTTCTCCACTTTGCGAAATATAACCTCCAAAAACAATAACTGCATGATCTCGGGCCACTGCAGAGAAACTACTTCTATTTTCGATCATTGGTTGGAGTAAGGTCACTTCACCATTCTGTTGATTGATTCTATCCACTCTTGATGTTCTCACATTAGACTTATCATTGCCACCCAGAGTATAAACACTACCTACAAGGAGTAAAATAGAGTAATTGAGAGTAAGCAATCGAAGTTAGATCCAACCATCCAAAGCAACTGTGCAGGCGCAGTTTCGATATTCGAATGGGAAAGAAAATTTTCGTCCTCCACTTAGTTCAGGAATCGCCTCCAAAACTCCTTTAGATCCATGAAAACAGATTATCGATTTCGAGCTGCGACGACAAAACAACGCATTATTCATTTCAAATCAAGTGTTATAGAAAAATATGAGAGTACCTTTCCTTTTTCATTTTATTCGAATTCCTAAATGTGTCCATAAATGTTGTCCTAAAGAACCAAATATTCAATAATGGGAATGACATTTTACCTTGCACTTTCCGACAAGTTGAAATCCGATCCACTAACTGACGTTTCAATTATAACCTCTGTTGGCAATTTCTTCATGTCGATCAACTTGAGAAGAGGACGGAAATGCTTTTCGATTTTAACGTGTTCGTCATTTAAGGAGGACGCATGCAACCATGTACAGATTGCCTTTAATTTCAATGCTTCTTTTCCATCGCATATCCAGGGACTATGCAGTAAGATTTGAAGTTGGTCAACACCTACATGTTGAAGGAAGGGCTGGCTGGAGGATAATCTCTCAAAATCGCACGCTACCCTTGGTATGCACACGTCAATGAGATCAGTATTTGAAGTGACATTTGCTGCCGACCAAACCTCCACCAACTCAAGTCGATCAAGTCTACAAGACAATAGCCGCTTGCGCATGAGTGATGGGTGGTACGTTTTTTCATCCTTTGTCACAAACTCTTATTTTATTACTCATCTTTTGCTTTACTTTTGAACTTCACTTCACTAAAACTAACACTCTCACACACGTACACGCATTATGTCTATTTTGGTTGCAATAAACGAACCTTGTCTTGATGAACTCCGTTGTCCAGTCAATCAGCTGTTTGCAGCCAAGATTGTGGGCCATCAGATATATCCCCAATACGTTATCAACATTTATGATTATTTCACCAGTGTAGGCGAAATCGACGGCTGCCATAACAATACTAACGAGTTGGTAATGGAATCAGTACAAATGACCTACTCATATGGAAAACGACTCCAATTTGAGAGGTTTGAATGTTTGTTCTCTAAGATACTGTTTTTTATTCCTGGGAATTGTGCACAAAGGACAAGTTTGTGGGCAGGGATAGAAGTGCCGCCTTTGGTCTGGAATGAGAAAAGTTTTCCCTTCAACAAAAATATGTACTCACTAGTATATTCAAATCAATTAGACTCATTTCTTGTCGCAATAGATTGAACCTATTTGCAAAGTTTGGTAGGAAGTCTTCATCGAAATTTCGGATCTCAGTTGTCAATTGCATCGATAATTCAAATATTGCAAAAAGCTGTGGTAGGTTGGGATGAGAATGTAAAAGTGGCAGACTTTGGTGAGTATTTAAAGCACTGGAATAGCACACATACCC